AGGTCATGATTCTTTGATTAAGGAGTTATAGGAACAGGGATATATACCAGGGCGTTATTCATTGGTTGAATGTGTGGGATAATGGATTGACTTTTGAACGATAGACGACATGTATATTTTAGAGTTGCGGCAAAGCGACCATGTGGACTTGGATACTTGATCAAATCTAATAGACGATCCTTCATCCTCTCCATCTCTCGGTGGTAATGTGTTGGACTCGAAAAACGTGATGTGAGTTGTTGATCTCTCTAACATGGAATTTTGGCAATAGAGTGGAGCTACGTCCAGTGAGTCGGGTCTTTACTCTGTCCCAGGATATATCTATATCTATATCTATATCTATGTTACAGCTATATCCATATCTATATCTATATTTATGTTATAGCTATATCTATATCCATGTTATATCTATATCAATATCAATATCAATCTCAATCTCAAAGATTCGGTCCCCGAAGAAAGTTTCCGGTTACAAGGATCCGATGTAAGATTACACTCCCCTCGACTCCTGTCTTGAAGTGGGAAATCGCCAGTACTTCGTACAGAGTCGATACCCCATGAAAGCTTACATGTGCAAACGCATTCCGCGATGATAATCATGTCAAGAAGGTTGATTTAACTCGCGGATCTAGCATGTTTAGGACGTTGTCGAATACCAATCAGAAGCCGACGGTGCGGAGTTTATGCACGTCCGGCGCAGACCAGGATGTGAACGTCTAAGGTTACGGGAAAGTCCACTGGGATTCTGTGAAGTTCCCAAATGTCCAGCGATGGGTGAGTAAGCTTTTGTTTATCTTTTTTTTTTTTTTTTTTTTTGACATAACTTACTGTAACTTTTATTAGTGCTCGCGCGCGGGTTGATCGAAGTCCGTTCTAGTTTTGACAGTCATTTTAATTTTACCGTAGTTATGAGCTTGCGGAGGGTTTTCGGACAGAAATGTCTTTTTTCCTCTCCGTGACTCATTGTGAGTAATTATGAAAAGACTGTTATAAATCTAGATCCTCCACTCCGCTCTATCCGTTTGATCCATTGCCTAGGTAAAAATCAATACATCATATGATCTTTGATATTAGAATTTAGAATTTAGACTTTAGAATGTAGAATGTAGAATGTAGAATTTAGAATTTAGAGTTTAGAATTTAGAATTTACAAACCACGAATTACCAATTACCATTACATCAGCTGTCAAAATATGCTCCTGACCCTGGTTCAGTGCGGGATTTACCTTACCTACAGAGTACACTGTATGGAATTACATCCATGGGCGTGGAGAGAGCGTAAACGTCAATTCAATCCAAGATTCGACACATTGCGAAGAAAGCAAGAAGGGAGTGCCGCATTACCGGTCGGATATGCTATTTGATGTGATGAACTACCATGGAACAAGTTTCTTAGGTAGATCCATCCATCCTCTGCACATTTCTTCACATCCGCGGATACACTCGTAATGTGGATAGGTATGATGGTTATGATAGTTACTCGAAACAAAAACAAAAATGTGGCTTTTATCAGATGATTTTCCAGATTCATTTTCAATGGATGGATATGCGATTTCTGATAGGTTCTGCATCTGCGGCGCACATTAACGTATAGTTTACGACGTATTCGTATAGTTACTCGTACGTACGCATTGTTCAACGTGTTGATTACCCTTTTGAGCATAGATCATACAGAGATTACCGACACAGCACGGAGTACTGTACCTGGGTATGTGTGCGACGAGTAAGATGATAATATCAATTAACACATGGACGAATCCTGAAAGCCTCCACGTCGGGCCCGAGTACGGAGACTAGAATCCGAGAAAGGTACCGCTCGGAGGGGTTTTAGTGTTATTCTTGTTTTTCACACGCCGTTCGGACTTGGGATGGATGGATGGATGGATGGATGGATGGATGGATGGGATGAGAGGCGCTGAATGGCATGGTGCACACACCTTCAACACCTAGGTATGCATGCACCCGCCGAACGAGTCATCCTAATATATCGAACCATTGTCTAAATCTTACATGCTGACGTTACTGTATCCTAAGATTACTCTCTGATATGTAGAAAATGGGTTTTTACGCTTGATAATCCCTGCAGCGGATCAAGTGTAAACGCAACCAAAATCTATGTTTACGTGATCGGGGGAGTAGTGTTCCCGAGAAACGATTTGTGCAGATCTAGTTCCCAAAGTTGCGGAAGGAGGGGACGCTGTTCTAATTCTGGTGAAAGTTCATACTAGGTACATATACCTATCGTCCTCTGGGATTTTCTTCTGGAGACGAGATGAGATGTAAGGTCCAGCCTTATTCAGGGACCACACATATTTTCATGTGCCGCTAATATGCTGCGGGGAATGTGGCAGAAGAGGTGGAAGCCGAGTGATTAAGTGCTGATGACTCGGGTCTATCATATCCGAGTCTACCTACGTGAGATGGTTGTTGGAATTATTTGTTTCTACAATATACATATTGTAGGTATCTGATCTGACCACTTTACCATACTGAGATGATGCTTGGTAATAACATGACTCTGCTTCGTTTGATATAGGATTGCGTACGCTGTAAGCATACAAGTGTTATGTTTCAGTTGCTATCAGCATGCATAATGATCATCGGGATTATAGAACCGACAAGTTCGTAGTCTGTCAGCTTCATTTCCAGATACTTTGCTATGGTTTGGAATCAATGGATGGATGGCATGGTGACAATCTGTCTACTGAATATCTAGGATGCTCGGGTAGAAAGACGCATTTAACACATAAAACAGGATGTTCATATCATATCTAGTACATGCGCTTGTAATGCTTGGCTATTGTTAAGGTGTAGGAGATGGAAATTCGGAGATTACTCTAATAATTTTCTCCGGAAGGAAGGAAGTACCTACCTTTCTTTACAATTTGTACTGTATGCGGAGCGGGGTTTTGAGGATGATTGTTCGGCTTTTGTTACAGTATCCTTCTCCGAGAGAAATTTCTCCTTGGAAAAGGTTGTTTCGATATTACCGCTTTGGTTGTCTAGGCTCTTTTGTTGGTTTCCAATTCTTGGAGAATGTTTAGCGTAGTCAACGTCGCGATTTACTGAATGGTGTTGTGAGGAGAAGCTGCGAATACTTTTGCTCGAGTTACAAGTAGGTGGTTAGGGTAGGCTGCCTCAACACATACTCTTTCTTTTAGTCCTAATGGCTCACCTGAGAGCTTTCGCAATTTTCCTTTTCATCACACAAGTGCTTGATGTTATGTGTGACGATCTATTTTTCTGTCAATACCTCAAAGAAGCAGTCTTCATGAAATGGCAACTAGAGTGTCAATCAACTAAGAAAATGCTGTGCTAGTCTAGCTTTTTGATGTCCTTCGAAGTATATCGAAGTATTGATATTCCCTGATCAAACCAGCTTACTTTTCGATTCCTCTCTGATAATACAAGAAATCGAACATCGGTTCACGACCACAGTATATTCAATTGTTCAAACTACAGTCTGATATAAACCATCCCCAAGTGTTGATTCTTCCAGAATACTTTTTTTTGTTCTACAAGCAAGCTCTTTATTCTCAGGCAAGATAAGATCAATATTCGAGAATGGATTAGCAATCAAATATCTCTTTTCCTCAAAATAAAGTCTAAACCATCGGGTACACTTATTAGGTTCAATATGAATATTCAATAAATTTCTAATTCAATTATTACAAATTATTATCAATCAAAATTTGGTTTCATATTGTGTTCAGATCACAATCAAATATTGACGGTTGAAACATTTGATTCAATAATCTAATCGAATATATTTGATTCAATAAATTTCACTACCAACTGAACGTCATTATAATCAAATCATAATATTTGTCAGATTAGTTCTAATATTTTAGATTAGAGACTAGGTCAAATAAAAAAAAATTGATTCGAACGAGCCCTAATTAAGCGACTCCGTTACTTATTTAAGATATAAAAGATGAATATAATCCTTAATCTAATCTATTACAACTTATTCTTATTATTTCCTATTCAAAGTAATCAAATGTCGTAGCTATTCTCCATGATGATTTATTAATGAGAAATGTTTTATTAATGAAGAGAAATCTAAATATTGAGATAATCTTTTAATGTAAAATTATTATAAGATTATTTTCTCATCACGATAAGCTGTTATCTTAATATTAGGTGTATATATACTTGAAAATTCTGCTATCAAATCTCGACATTTAGCTTGTTTCTTTCTTTCTTCTCAACTCATCTAGTTTTCTCATCATTCATAATGTATATATTTATAGTGATGAATAGTTGTTTGTCGATTCTTAGATCTTGAAATCGATAGACCGGCTCGAGTATAAGGTTATGATTCTGAGAAATGTAATCTGTTATAGTAATCGATCTACTGTTAGCTATGATGGAATTCGTTGATTTCGTCTGTTTTGATAATCGTCGGATATCTTGATGATATCGATAGTAAGGATTTCTCTCAAGCCCCGGTTCCTAATCGCTGTAAGCTATGATATACTCATCTAATTACCGCTTCTAATTATTATCAAGAGAGGGTGCACATTTAAATGTATATGGGAAAGGCGAAAGATCGCTTCACAAGGCTACGCTACGGTGCACGATGATCCGGATGCTTCAGCTACTACTGTATTTTGGGTGAATATGCAAAGGTTGCGAGGGTGTTATTGAAGATGGAGAGAAGGATGGATTTGGAGAAAGGCAATATAGTTGAAGAGATGGCTTTGGGTATTGCGGGGAGAAGGTGATGAGGAAGTCATCGCTTTGTTGGAGGAGAGAGGGGTGAGGATGAGTAGGGAAAGGTTGCAGGGGTAGAAATAGTTTACAGTACAGTCTGACGATAAGTTCTCTGTGTTGATGTCATTTCATGGGATAAATTGGATTGGGCACTAAATACTAACACGCAGAATGTTGAATGTTGAAAGCTTTTTCAAAATAGACCGCTACTCAAGTATTCGACGAAAGAGACCGAATGAGAACATACCAGACTCAAGTGAGAATACTCTCCCACATACCCCCAACTAAAAATACATAATCGCCATTTTTCCCAGCTCAGGATTCCGAACAACAGTCTTGATTCCCTCATCCCACTGCTCAATCGAGAATTCACCCACAATTTCCATGCCGCCCTCTTTTCCCAGTTTCAACAATCCGCTTTCAACAAGTTTGATAAGTCCTTTTACATCTTCCCTCTCATACATATACTGACCCCGAATCGTAAGATTCTTCATAACCGCCATCATATACGAAATATCAACATCATTAGTCGTGACTCCCATTAATGACGCTCTCCCATAATCTCTCAATGACATCAAACACGCCCTGATATGACTCGAACCATTTGCCTCCTGGGGTGATAAATCCAGATACGCATCAACCGGGCCCAAAGTTTTGATTCTCGCGAGATCTTCCTCGTAATTGCCAGTTGTCTGTACAATCTCAACGCGTCGATTCCCCGCGGCAAGTTTCTGCAATTTTGACAAACTCCTACTCACAGCAACAACACGTGCACCCATCGCTAACGCTACTTCCACCGCAGCGCTACTAAACAATCCGGTGGCAGGAGCCACAATAACCGTTTCTCCAGCTTTAAGATCGATTCCTCGAAAACCACCATAAGCTACCATATACCGCGCGAGAATCGACAGATCCCCAAGCGAATAACCCAGACCTCCTTCTGCTTGACTCCCCAAGAGACGCTTCTCATCCAACGCATAAACATTTTCCAGCGGGGTTTTCACATATTCCGCTAGCGAGCCATCACGCCAAACCTCGATGAGTTTTTGCGCGGGGGGATCGTGTCCGAATACCCCGATACCCCAGAGGATTTTCACATCCGGGTTATCCCGTCCGCGAACAAAAGGCTCGATAGCTACTAGCTGGCCGATGCATAATGTGGTGGTGTCGGGACCGATGGCTGCGATGCGTCCGATGGCTCGACTGCCTGGGATAAAGGGGGTGGGTGCGTATAGGTAGGGCATTTTTCCATCGAGTAGATCTTGAATGCTGGGCTCGATGCTTAGAGCGAGGACTTGGACGATGAGACTTCCGGGATCGGGGTGGGGTGTAGGAAGAGTTTTGAGGGTGAGAGGTTGGCCTTGGGCTTTGGCGTAGAGGGCACGCATGGTGGGTGGAAAGGGAGAATCTTTTGTTATTGAAGCCATAATAAGTTTATGTGTGAGATCTGAGATCAATGAAGCAGAGGATATTGTTTGTTTGTTTGTTTATTTGTTTATTTTTCCAACGAGCCCGAACAGATGTTTATATATTGTCATTCGTAGACAATAACTCACTTCCCTTTCACATTGTCGCGCGCGACATTTGAATTCGATAACTCCGTATATGAAGCATCGGGGTTACATGCTCACGATCCCTTAACTCCATTATTCGCGTTGACCAAGAGTCGTTTCATCATCTCACGGTATACTTTTCAATCTTCAAAATTGACGTGAAGATGTATGTAGGTATGTATGTAATCCTCAAAGATATAAATCAGGATTAGTCTGAAGATTTCCCGCTAACGCCGCATGATCTAGGCGATATACAGACTAGCGAGGTGAATGAATACGGTGTGTGGTTAGCGTGTACACCAGAAGTGGGGCAGAATGAGGGGTGTATCCATCTCCGTCATTCTGAAGCTTTATCTTCCCCTTCATCTACTCGCTTATATTTCCTTTCGTCGTATATTTTGATTTCTTCTGCTTGTTGATACGAGTGTATAGACATAAACGACACAATGAGATTGTGATATGGTTGCTTGAAATACTTCCACAACTAGCCAATATCATGCCTATCAAGACACAAACCAACATTAAGGAAGATAGCCAACGAAAGCGGAGGGTCCATAAAAAGTCGCGAGAGGGTTGTCGGAATTGCAAGCTGCGGAGAGTTAAGGTGAGATATTTCCCATGGGTATTGGTCTAGTACATTTGACTTTGACTGACAACACGAGATTCCTTAGTGTGACGAGACAAGACCGCATTGTTTGAAGTGTAAAGATTATGGATATGCATGTAATTATGACTCTAAAACACCAGATCTGGAATTGATATATTCCAAAACTTCTCAATCGCAAATTGAACCTGGACAATCCTCATGGTCTATCAATTCTACATCATCTCGACAGATGACCAGTATCCCTACCACCTTAGAACCATTCTGCGTTATCGGCGATGACATCTCATTATTTGAACTCGATAGACAGAATCTCCATCGACTAGATCGCTTTCGTTATCGAACCGTCATCACTCTTGGAACACCCACTGCCGCAGGAATATTCCACGAATTCGCCATCTCAATGGCCTATGATCACCCCTTCCTAATGCACGCACTCCAAACCCTGACTGCCTGCCACGACCGCTATCTAACCCACCACCACGCACCATCATCGCGACGCACATCCACAGAAGCCTACCACCTATCCCGAGCCGCTTCCCTCTTCAACCAAAAACTCTGCGCGCCAATCGCAAACCACGATAAAGATGCCTTGTGGGCCACCGCAGCCCTCCTCGGAATCGTAGCCGTCTCATCAATCGAAGCATCCTCCCCCTCCGAAGCATGGCCTCTCACCTCATCCGCAGAAACCGATACCGATCTCGACTGGCTACGCATGAGCGAATCGAAAACCGTCATATTCGAACTCACAAACCCTATGCGCAAAGAAAGCATATTTCACATCCTATCCATCGAATACAACAACGCGCACTACAAACGCGATGGGAATCTCGATTTCTCATCTCTCCCGATCCATTTTATCAAACTCTTTGATTTACACGAGCATTCGACCGTGCTTAATAATCCCTATTATCTCACCCTCATATCTCTCCAGCGTATCCTCAATATCGAATGTAATCGCTCAGCCATGTTATCTTTTCTCGGGGTTTTAACTAGTATGTCACCTGAATACAAAATTCTTCTGAAGATGAAAGATCCCAAAGCTTTGCTTCTACTTTCGTATTGGTATGCGAAAGTCTGGAGAATGGTATGGTGGGTAGAACGTAGAGCGGTTTTGGAATGTCAGGCGATTTGTATCTATTTGGATAGATATCACGGCGACGATTTGTTGATTCGGGAATTAATGTTGTTCCCAAAGCGAGAGTGTGGTTTACTTGGTTAGGGGGAGTTAGTGGTGAGATAGATAGTATAGATGTGAGGAATGAAGATTGAGGCCAAATGGTCTGGCTTTACATTTGCTTTCGATTTTGCTGCAAGTCTCTAGTTAGTCAAAATCAAATAACCAAACGAGTCTCAGAAACTTTTTCTGAGTTATGTGCCTGGTACCAATCAAGAAGTGCATTATAGGGCGCGATAGAAGGAGACAATACAAATAGAAATAGAAATGAGGAATAAAAACCGAAACCAAAACATTCTGACTTTACATTTACTTTCAATTATATCGAAATAATCATAATTAACCAAATCCAAATAATCAAACAATTCCCAGAACCTTTTCCAAGTTATATGCCTGTATACCAATCAAGAAGTGCATTGCAGGGCGCGACATCAAGGGAGGCTAGAATGAACCAGATCTTATTCTAGATCGCACTTGCATTCGATGTATTTGCTTCGTGCTAGTTCTTCATTCTCTGAGTTCCAAGCCATTACATTCCTGCATCCAACCTTGAGCTTTGCGAAAGTTACACGCTACATATCTGAGCTTGTCTCATGGCGGGAATGAGGCTTGTTAATTGAAGCAGGAAGCTTTTGTGGCGACCTTCGAATCGCAACCTGACTTGAAGATGCTAAATTAATTTATAAACAATTTCCTCAATTAAAAGAGTATTATTAAACTATATCCGGCTCTAAAATTATGCCAAAAATCCCGTGTGACGGCTCCCAACCGACTTAGGCAAACAAAGTGCCATCAAAGTCCTTCCCACTTGTAACATTAGTTAAGGTATAATTTCCAAAGCAAACGTATTCATAGTTTGCCATCGCCGTCGCATTCCTCTGACTCTCTAAAAATTTACTCATTTCACACATTCCATCTTTTCTGCCTTTGCACGCACCACCTCGAATGGTATCTAATGGAAGTATGCCATTGTTGAGTCTCATTCTGATGAATTTATTCGGGGCATTTGCGGGATCATATCCATATTGAGTTGGTGTGTATTGAACCTTTGAAGTTTTCTCAGCCTTTGGGTTAGCGGAACTGCATCCAATGGTTTCGGTAATGAGACGAGCGCCGAATGGGGTGATATGTGAAAGGATGAACTTTCGCTTTGGGTTGGGTGGGAATTGGGTTAGGCTTGGAGCGTCCCGGAAGTAATCCATACTCATTGCTGTTAGAGCAGATACGATAATATCGTCGTGGGAGAAATCAGCGTAGAACTTTTGGTCCAATGGGAAGGTAGTTGGGTTATCGTCAAGGGTGGAGTTTACGGATGAGTTGGGAGAGGTGATGTATTGGTGTTGAAGACGGGCAAGGAGCTCTTGGACATATCCAAGTCCTTGAGCGCGACCAGTAGGATTTCCATATGAATAATCGTACCAGTCTGGTGGAATTGTCAGTATGAGTACCCTGAAAATCACCAAAGCCGCGGACTTACATATCATATCTAAAGTATTCTCAAACCCATCCCACTCATCTTCGGTGAACAATCCACAGAAGTCGCTCATACCAATATACGCATGCTCATATGCGCAAATGCTTTGCATAGCATAGGTATCATTGTATGTCAATTCAAAACCAGAAGATGCGTATTTCTGTAACCTGTTCGTCGCACCACCCAAGTATTTAGGAAGATAAGTGTAAAGATCCAAATCTCCAATGTTCCAAATCCCATCAACATAATCGTTGAAACAGCTATCATACGATGCCAAGGTATTATTCTCGGTTCCTCCTTCAGGAATTATTACCACATCAAATCCAGCAGTCACGTTTTCGAAAGTGGGATCTGGGATGGTAGCATAGCTTGGACCAAAGAATCCCAATGCCCAATTGATTTGGCTGTTCTCGATTCTCGATTGTGAAGTGGTGCGCAAGGTGATCTTCGGACGTGCAGTGCCATTGGGATATAGAGGGTTGTAGGCAAGCTGTCCAACGGATGCATTGTATAAAGTGCGGCCGTATCGATTCCAGAAAGAAACGCCAGAAGTGAATTCTGTGATTGCACCCATTCCAGTCAGGAGACCATTATCGACCATTCCGTACTCATAAGTGTTGAGGAAAGCAAGAGGACCAGTGAACGTCGCGTTAGTAGAGGTTGAGGTAAAGTTTGTAACCTTTGCAGCAAATCGCTCATCATTCGCGCCATCATCTACTGAAGTTGTCTGAAAGCGCTGCGCATGTCTTTGGAGGGTTTGTACCGATTCCTTGACTAAGATTAGTTGGTTATTCAGGAATCACGAAAAAAGCAACGTACAACTTGACAGCCCTCTGGAAGTCCGACATGATCTACACCGAAATAATCTTCATCGTTGTCAGAATAGGGACTTATCTCTCCCCAGTACTTTTGGATTCGATCAATATCAGTAAGAAGCTGGGCGGCAGTAGCTGACGCCAGCAAGGCATTAGTAGCAACCAATGTAGAAAGATACATCGTGAGATGTAATCAAAACAAGAAAGAGAGTGAGAGGAATTGAAGATTTGACGAGTATTTCACTGCTTGGATTTGAGACTCGAGATCATATATAATTCTTACCATTGGAGAGTTTCTATGTCTGGGAATCTGAAGGGACGATCGTCGTTTCCTCACCAGGCTGGTTCTATCGGAGCGATATGAGCACTCACTCTGCTGTACGATGTACCTCCGGCCTTCCTAAAGCGAATAAAATACCCACGTTGCCAGTAGTGGCATCTTGATTCCACTATTCTTATGCATGTCGAAGCATACTTCATTTATCAGATCAGCTTATGTCAGGAACAACCTCGTCGTCTCTCAACAATCCCAAAATTGTCCAGCCATCTTTAATAAGGATGACGTGGGTATATACTAGCCTTGCATGACGGCCAATCCACGTCGTGAAAATCAGGACAGCTATAGCTTAATAAATGGGCTTCTATACACTCTTCAAGCATTTCATTTGTTGCAGGCCGGTATATACTCGGGGACTAACCAGTTTCGTCCCATGGTGATTAGTATGGAGTAGCAAGTCAAGCTTTTCTGGGATGTAGCTCGGGGTAGCCCCCGCCATCGGCCAAAGTAGAGAGTTTATTTGGTAACCTCGTAATTACTCGTAAAATGAAAATGTGCAAGTTCTTATCTCTTACCATACAATGTCGATAGAGACAATGGGAAATATAGAAAAGGAAGTAATCAAACAATTAATTAAAAGTCAACCAGAATCACTATTGTACACACATTCCATGTAATCATGAAAATAGCCTAGCTTCCCCTCTTCCCCCATAATCCGCCTCTTCAGCTTCTCCCTACCCTTAGCGACATAAGAATCTCGGAATTGAACAAGGAATAGTGAACACACAGTAAGCCAACAAAGAAATAAGGGCTTCCATCCAATCGGAAGCGACAGAAACGAGATCGCGAAAGTATGAATTGTATTGAAAAAGAGTAAGACCTCCAGCATTAAGAGTAAAAGGTCGGAATGAAGAAATCTCTCCGAGGACCTCTCCGAGGACGACATAGAAGGTAGAACTGAAGAATTCTCGCCGGTAGAACTGCTGATTTTGCCTTTATGCATCCGGCTCTTGTGAATGTGCGTCATTACCACCCACTGTCACAATCAAAGAAGCGGGCGTTGAATCATTTACAGCACCGCATTGATTGATACCTCCATCAGGTGTCACATCATCATACGGAAAACAGTAACCAAGGCCATCAATGTTTGCAGCATGCACAATTCTCGCATAATGATTCGTGATTGCATTTTCGTAATATGTCGACACCACTTCTTTATCTGGCTGGGAAGAATTGACAAGAAGTGTCGATCGATTGAATGCGGCATCAAGTCTTGCGCCAATATTCAAGAGTTGGTCGGTATTGGTAAGCTGAGCTGCAAAGGCCCCTGTCGCGCCACCAAAAATGTCTGCAGATGATGGTTTGGTAAAGGAGCCGATGCTATTAAAGGTCAAGGAAGTCAGGTCGGATGTTGATCCGGAAACATCTCCCCACGATGCTTGAGTATTGACAGTTAGGGAAGTGCTAGCATATTTATCCCATACATCATTGATGTAGCTGGTCCAATATCCTTCAAAGAGTACCGGATTGAAAACAATGCCTGCCGTTGGATTAAGGGCTCTCAAATTCGTACCGTCATTCTCCACAATGAGCTTGCTCCAACCAGCCCCATCGATCGCATCTTGGACTACTAGACCTTTGCAAACTGTCGCTAGTCCGTCTGAGGGTAAACCTCCCACGTGTTTCACTGCACCACTTGTAGTGTTGAGTGTCAAAGCGATAGGCAGGCACACAAAATCGACGTAGGTAATGTTTGCAAATAGCTCGGAGCTATTGTATGTAAACTCACAAAAATCCCAACTTTTCAAGTAGTTTGGATCAGAGGTATTGTTGACGGAGGGCTCAACCAATGCAGGCCCTGTAAGCCCAACATCGAGCAAAAATGTCAAAGTATCTTCGATGCAGAACCAAATCCGACCTCCTGCAATATTTGGAATACTGACCTTCGTAGTAGACCCTGGTTCTCCAAGTGGAATGGCACAGTCTTCTGTCAAGGCAGATCCGTTAGATGATGGGTTTGTAGGGTAGTACAAGGTGGACCCATCAGCTTGCAGGAGCACCACGGAATTGTTTTTATTGATGGCAAGGCCAGTGATGTATGCGTAGACGGTGCTCGAGGAACTTTGATTGACAAGTTCTATGGTAAGTGTGCTGGCAGTAGCTTCGGTCTCGACTGTTTTGATTTCGGGTGGACACAGAACGTTCCTCTTCTTCTGCCTTGCGATCGCGTCCGAGATAGTAGTCATTGCTGCAAATATTGAGTGGATGTGAAATTGTTGTTTGCTCTGGAGATTGTTCTCTATATTAGTATGCCATTGAACCCTTCTCGTCCGAAGGGGAGCTTATTATAATGTCAGAAAGAGTGTAAATGTCAATGACCAGATTTATCACTGTGGCTGGACTTCGTGAGGCATGACTATGTTTGTGTCTTGTGAGCCCATATGTATATTCAGACAGACAATCCGGTCAGAAAGGAAAATGGCAGTGGCAGAGAAAGCCGTGTAGACTGGGCTCGGAGAAGTAAATATCCATAGCAGGGGCAAACACTCGAAAAAGTATCAAGGCGAAGCCTTGATCTCAACGACGGCGTGAAGCTTTAGAGTTTAGCTCGCTAGACCTTTCTTCACATTCACCAAATTTAGAAACAAAGATCATCCCCTCGGGGTCGTATTGAATCATCAAACTAGATGTCAGGAATTTCCATCTGCCTACATACCATATCTGGTATGGACACCAGCATCTGGGTATGAGCGAGGCTGGTTGCACGAGATTCACAACTGTCGCATGCTCTCTTGTCTAATAACGATAGAACTAACAACAGTATTACGTATCCTGTGCAATGACAGCATTGTGACAGCATTCTTTCAATCACTACCAACCATCAACTATGATAAGATAGAAGAATGTCTTAACTATGATGACGACACGAAATTCGGGGTAAATCCACTTAGTTTTGAAGTCAGTCTCCTGACCTAATCACTGGCAGTGTGTGTACCGCTAGACTGGAACAATGATTATGCATGTGCCGACTCGAGGGCTCTCCCCAGAAATGATTTGCTACCGAAAGGAAAGATAGCATCGTGTTTATGGTTGACTTGCGTAGTAATACACTTGGAGTTGTTTGTATCCATATGAGTGAAAGTATGAGGAACGCTCACGAATCGAAATAGACAGAGTACCAGTGATGAAGAACATTCAATTGATCTGGTATTGGATCTAACTTTTCGAGGTAAATACCTAGGCTCGAGCTAGATACTGAACATGTTGTAGATACAAGGTTCGGAGAATACTCCTGGATCTATCTAGCCGGTCAGGTACAATGTCTCGACTCTCGAGATTATGCAGCCTCTCCTCTCAATCCTGCAGCTAGATAATCACGTGTAGCTCACCGCTGATTGAGTATGATGCGCTAGCCCAAGAAAAGCGATATGTTGGCAGAATCCAAGGCTGAAGTCATTACTGTCCTTCGAGTGTTCATACAACGGTTTGATCCAACAAGCTTGAATTGAAAGCATTTTGTTGCACAACTTCCAATCCGAATCTCAGGGTACCCATTTCACTCTCGACCTCAAGCAATTCTACGTTACTCATACTATATTACACAACAGACGCAATAGCCTTTCACACCACCTTGAACGTCCCACGCTTCGTAAATAGCTATGCGTTAATTGCTATCTTCGCCCACTTCATTGTCTGAAGTCTGAGTGTTGTATGCCGTGGCTCTTCTTGTACCACCCAAATCAAAGGTGTCGCTCGTATCTATCGAAATAATCCCAGATGAGTAGAGGGAGGCACAGCATCAGCATAAAATTGAAACACGATCGGCTTAGAGAGATTGTAACACCTGCAGCCCGCATTGAAAACTTGTTTTTCAAGTGCGCCATCTGCCAGTACTCGCCGTGGAGTATATTGGAGCAACGGGTCCAAGTGAGCGAGCAGTGGCGTGAGATTTGGTCCAAGGGGCTCCACGTTGGAATTCTTTTCGTGGATTCACAACCTGCGAGCATCATATGAGACTGGCGCGATATTCTGGAAACTTTATTTCGCTTTCAATCTTTGAGCATGTCCATCTCGAGTGCTAGAACATCATTGTCCTCCCAGGAACTGACCGGCGAAGGTATATCTGTAAATGCGAAGGAAGTTCATGCTGTCATTTGCTGACAATGGTTGACAGCAAAATTGAAGGACGTCACCAAAATTGTAGAAAGCCTCAAGGTAGATTTAGAGAAGATTAGCCTTCTGCCGCATCGTGAGTATGAATGAGTCTCGCGTATTTTAAGATATACTCATTCCTCTTCGCAGAACGAGATGCGCTCCTGGAGCAATTGAAGGTTTATGGTCGTGACCCTACCAATGCAGACCCAATCTTTACCAAAGAGGTAGGTTACACATGTCTAAACGCAAGATGTTCCTAATCATAGCAATAGGGAATCGAGACTCTTTCGAAGCATGCCTTCAATAGCCCTTCCAAAACTACTTCTCGAAATGCACTTCGATGCCTCGCAAACGCCCTCCTCCTGAAGCCAGATACACGACAGATATTGGTTAGCTCGGGCTACGATGAAAGAGCTTGTGCTCTACTTAAAGATAGAATTGCATCTGTTGATGACGAATTTTTGTTGTCCAGAATTATCTTTCTTACAACTTACGGTACCACGATCAACATTGAGAATCTCATCGATCAATGTCATCTAGCAGACACCATCTCACACAATATTGCCAACCATGATAAGCTTCACGGTGCGAAGCAGAAGAAAGTCAAACAATCAGATCCAATGGAGGATATGGCCCTTGCTGAGTCGCTCAAGCTTCTTTTTAATATCACACATTTTTGTCCCCAACGAAACTCGAGTTTTTCCCAAGCACTTCCTCATATTTTATCCATTCTTCATGAAATAGAGACGATTCCAAACGCACCTCTAGATTCTCCTACCGCGCAACTCGTCAACACTCTTATCAATATACCTCTTGAAGACCTAGGAAATATTAATGTACTGTTTCCTAAAGGAAACACAAACTCGAATGTCGAAAAGTTTCTTGAACTCCTCGACCATTCCATCAACAAGTACCAAGACGAAGAACTTGAGCAGCTTGTTTCCCCACTACTCACCCTCATTCGTAAAATATACGAGATCGGTCCCTCGGAAGTTCACCAATTCATGCAAACCCGGTTGCTTCCAAGTGATAAAGACCGCGAACAGCCTGTAGGCAAAGGAGAGTCATTGTCTGCACGCTTGATCAAATTATCCACAAGCCCTATGGCGCCCCAAGTCCGGGAATCTATATCGGCCTTACTGTTTGAATTGTCTGACAAGGACGCTAGCACCTTTGTTCAGAACCTCGGCTACGGATTTGCCTCTGGCTTCTTGTTCCAGCACAATGTCCCTATCCCAGAAAATGCCTTTGAAGCGTGGAGTACGGAAAATGATAAAGGCAATGGTAAGACAAGGCCCAGCCACGATAGTGGGAAAGCAATCAATCCCATTACAGGGCAACTTCTCGAAGCAGAGGAGAGGGTTGATATTCCAGAGATGAGCCAAGAAGAGAAAGAGAAGGAGGCCGAAAGATTATTTGTATTGTTTGATCGGTATTTAGAAACCTCCCGGTCGCAAAATCACGCAAGCTAACACATCAGTAGATTGAAGAAGAATGGAATAATCACTGCGACAAACCCTATGGAGGAAGCGTTGCGTCAAGGGAGGTTTGAAGAATTGGAGGATGATGCAGATTCCGATTGAGAGAGAATGGTAAAATTTGCGAGATGAAGCTAGGGGCTTGCTGGCAACTCTTACTTCACATGCAAACCAATCTCTTTGATGAATGATGTGAAAAGTCTTCCAAACTCGAAGTTTTCTTCTTTCTTTTTGTCCTTGAAAAAATCTATGCATCTTGTACATGGTTATGCAGCTTTACTGCGACATATCACAGCTGATATGTAAAGACAATTGCGGCTATTGAGCCTGACCAATCAGGTCCGGAGTTAGTGAATCTGGTTTTCACCATCCATCATCAGATGGATTCACTCTGCAGTGTAACTATACCCAACATAAGCAGTCCAACAATTGATACTCTAGACACATTCAGTTTCTTCCAAAAACTTTAAAATGTTGATTTTTTTTTTCAATATTGATTTGATTTGAAATCAATAACAGCATCTCCAGAATCTCAAAGCTAGAATCTCAAATAGGAGTGCAGTCTGGGTGATTGAAAACCTGACCCGGCACACGAACAGTAGCGCCACTTCAATCACACAACTTTGCATACCTAGGTAGCATTTCGATCACTTGTGTTTGCAAACAGAAAAGCGCTTCGTGAAATTTGCCTCTCCAGTCGCGATAGACTTTGATATATCATCTTGCCCAAACCGAACGTTGTCAACAAGTACACGGAAGTTGTTTTCTCTTACCGCAAAGGAAAGTAAAAGCCATGTCTTCATCCTGGGAAGCTCAGGCGACCGAAAGGGCTTCTTTAATCCTAGAGAAAATCCCTCGTGAATGGAGACTCTCATCAAATGAAATTGCGTATGCAAGAACCCAGCGAAACATTATATGTGTCATTTGCAAATATCTAGATCGATTTGAACAAGAAGTCCTAAATCATGACTCAATATCAATACTAAGAAAGCTTAGGAGTGGAGAATGGACTGCGGTTCAATGTGTTCTGGCTTCTTGCAAGATTGCTTGCATTGCTCACCAGATTGTACGTTTCCTACCTTCGGTCCATCATATGTTATTCTCTACTATCGATAATTATTATGAAGCTCACTGAGATAGAATCCTTGCTTGCTTAACATCATGATACCTGAAGCAGTAGAAAAGGCTAGAAAGTTGGATGAATGCTTTCAAAATGATGCGGGATCGGTCAGAGGGCCACTTCATGGTCTTCCGATCAGCGTCAAAGATCAGTTTCATGTAAAGGGATCGGATACTACCATGGGCTACGCTGGATGGATCGAGACTTTTGAGGGAGATGGTAATAGCAATAAGGTTGGTATGGTAGACAGTCAGATAATCTTTGAACTAGAGGAACAAGGTGCGGTAGTTTTCTGTAAAGTATGCGTTTCCCGTTGTATTTATCTTTGAGATTTACTGACAACTAGGAAGACCAGCTTGCCACAAACCGTTCTCGTAAGCTTCGGGTCTTAGTTTAGTGAAAGTGGTAAGCTAATTGATGTTCAGTACGACGAAACTATCAATAACATCATAGGCCAGACACTCAATCCAGTCAATCGACTTCTTTCCTGCGGTGGTTCTTCTGGGGGTATGAGAACAAACATCATTTCCCACTATGGATTCAATTGATCTAACGATATACTCTAGGTGAAGCAGCGCTCATCTCAATGGGTGGAAGTTCATTGGGTATGGGTACTGATATTGGTACCTACTTCGTTCTACATGCCTTTAAACCAATGACTAACTTCAGCATAGCCGGTTCTATTCGTGTACCAGCTGCATTCTGTGGTATTTACGGCATCAAGCCAACTCATAATAGATTTTCTTATCGAGGGGTTGCCAATACTGTACTTCAAATACACTATTCTCTCCTAGCTATTTGCCATCATGCTAACTAACTATCCACAGAATCCCGGGCAAACACTAATACCCTCTTCAGTAGGGTTCCTTTCACGTTCAATCGAAGGCCTAGATTTAGTCATGAGTAGTCTTTTATACACATCGCCTTGGCTTCGCGATCCAGCCGTCGTTCCGATTCCCTGGCGTAGAGAAAATCGACCGCAAGACGGGAAAAGGCTCAGATTTGGCATTTTCTGGTGGGATGGAATGATTCAATCTCATCCACCTGTTACACGGGCATTGAAAATGGTTGTAACTGCTTTGGAAAATGCAGGGCATGAGGTATTCGTCTTATCATGGTGTATGATTAGAAAATAGCAAGCTAATATTACATTCAGGTCATAGATTGGTGTCCACCATCTCATAGTATACCCGAGCGACTTCATGTATGTTTCCTCTCTATACAGGTATATACTTGGCAACTAATAGAAATCTATCTATCAGCCAGCAATAATGAATGCAGATGGATCCCATCATATTCAAAAACAACTCGCATTATCCGGGGAGCCATTAATTAAAGATTTACAAGACTTTTACACATTAAAACCACCAATGTCTCTTCTCGAATATCAAGATCGAGCACTCCAACTCCGAGATTATAGACAAGCTTACTCGGATTATTGGAACAGTACAGCTGATGTAAATGGGAATGTGGTGGATGCAGTATTAATGCCTGCAGCTCCCCATGCTGCTGTTATACCTGGAAAATGGGAACATCTCGGTATGTGCTTCATCTACACAGTAGGATTTGTCTTGGGAATATGTTTTAAAATGCTGATGGAAATAGCTTACACGGAAGTTACCAATCTTCTGGATTATACGGCATTGGTTATTCCAGTCACTTATGCGGATAAGGACGTGGATGAACATCATGTTTATGTAGCGGTTAGTGAGAAGGATTTGAGGAATTGGATGGCGTATGATAAGGTGATTTATGATGGTGCGCCGGTTGGGATACAGATTGTAGGGAGAGTTTGTGAGGAGGAGAAGATTATAGGGGTGGCGAAAATTGTGGAGAAGGCTTTGGGGAGATGAAGGAGAGTTTTGAGAAAGGCGATGGAGGTTGCAAATATGTTATAGTGGGTTCCAATCGATGAGATTACTTATCTGATCTTATGAAAAGAAGTTCCATTAAATTTGCTGGCCATTGCGATGAATAGTGCTTACTTTCCGGACATTATTGCATCAGACATTCAAAAGTCCTGAAGCATTTTCTACTTTCTACTCTTTGTATCCGAAGCACACGAGAGACATGATGAAGAATCAATCATTCTTCAACGAATCTCACCAAGCGACGGCTCTCAAATTACCAGATCTTTTTGGGAACTGAGATATCTCGTTTCATTCTCTTGGCTCAAAAGAGGCGAGACATTCACCCTTCCTTGCAAATCAACTATACATACGAATCTGTCAAACATTTAAGACTCCATGACACCAAAACATTTCCAACATTCAGCTGTCTCTATTCTCTAACTGATGATTAAGATTGAGTAAGGGTGCCTACTCTACTACTCATCTCCCTCTCAGTCTTTACTTTCCACTCTCGATAGACTTTCTTTTCCAAAATTTCACCATCGACAGTCTCAAACACATCATAATGACAATCATGCCATATACCCAATTGCTCCCAAAACCCGATATTAGGCTGCACTCGCGATCTCTTCTGGCGTACAAAAGCTAGAGCTTCTTCTCGATCTAAAGCTCTTTCTCGCATTACTGAATATAAAGTCAGCTAAACAATATCATGACTCATAAAGTAAAAATTAGTAGAGAGTAATTTACCATATCCTAAAACAACTGTTCCAGATCTACTAATTCCAAGACCACAATGCACCAACACCCTCCGACTTTCACGAACTGACTCATCAATCACTTCACATACATCGTTCATAATGAGTAGAATATCTTCCAGCGAATCATCATGGACTCGAAAATGTATGTGTGAGAAAATCAGTTCGAGATAGCGAGTACGAAGCCATTGGGGAAGAGGTTGATCGTTTACGGATATGATTGTATGGATATTTTTGCTGAGGAGATGGGATGTGTTGTATGTGGATAGGATACTGGGGGAGGAGATTAGTAAGAGGGGAGAATAGAGAGAAGTGAAGCTTTTAACTCTCCGATCCAGAGATTAGGTAGGATGTGGTTCATGTTCGGGTTTGGGCTTGGAGTGTGAATGCCGGGATGGTTTATTAATTGGGCCATTGTGAGTTTGCGATGAGAGGAGTTGGATGGATGGATGGATGGATGGATAGATGAGATTATACTTGTTCTCTCTGGAAAATGAAAAAGGGATTTGAATATAAATATAACAGACAATGTATCACTAGGAAAACTTCCCTCTAGGCTTTCATGCTGTGTAATTCTGGAGCCTTGTATCCGCCACGAAAATACTTGCGCCTGTAAGATTTGCTAGGCTTCCGTTGTATTCTATCTACTTGATAGTATATGATATATTGACATGTTGAAATAAAAATCAAGGTATCTCATACTCTGGATTATAGATCGATAATAGAAAGCTTTAAATTCCTGAATGGAACTAGAACATTTAATGTATATAGAAGTTTGAACGTATTTTAGAGATTGAATTTCTTTCATTTATTCTGAGTATTTAGAAAGAATTATTATATTTTAGAAGTTTAAGTATATTTCAGAGATTGAATTTCTTTCATTTATTTTAATAATCTTAAAGAATAATTATATTTTAGATTATAAAAGTATATTATAAAAATTCATTTATTAGTAGTTATTTAAATTATCTAAATAGATAAAGAGATTTTAAAGATCTAGTTGTTTTAAATTATTCAGAACGTCTAAAATTTAACAGCTCTAATATTATCATCGTAATAATAATTGTATACAAGTCTAATAGTTCGAATGGAATTATTTTGATGGCGTAGCTATCGGGATTAGGTCTCGTTAGTCTCGTTTTTTGTAGCAATAATAAATCCTTGTTAATAGGAACTCTATATATTTTTAAAAGAAGGCACCATTGCATCAAACACCCAACCCTTCTATGGTGTAATGGTTAGCACACTAGATTTTGATTCTGGAGATATTGGTTCGATTCCTATTAGAAGGTTCATTCAAGAACATTCCCCATTCTGTACTCAGTTTAAACCTGAGATTAAAGGGCTGCGACTACTTTTCTATCATTTTTTTTTTCGCTTGTTACAACCTTTTTTTTTGAAGAATATCGCTTGCCCATTCCTGGTCGGTTGTCAGCCGGTAAGATCCATCATGTGAATTTTAATTATGGGCCAGTATCTCTGAAGCCATCCAAGCTCATATTATCAATCAAGTTCACGTGATGTGCTAGCATACAATTCAGCTCCCTGCCGAGCGTGCATACTATCTATGAGGGCCGTGTTCCAATTTACCCATCTTCAATATTGTATAACGTGGTTCATATACGAGTGGATCATATCACCGAATGGATCACTTCAAAATCACACCAAATTCAAGGTTTTATTAATATTCATATTTTAATAATAAATCAATATTTTTTGAGAAAGAAAAAGCTATTAATAATAATAAAATAATTAATATTCAGAAATCGAATTTTTATATAAAAGTTCTTATTATATTACTGAAATTGTCACGCTTTTCATTACAGAGAAGTTAATTTCATAATAACTCTTATATTCATTCGAATTTTCAAAATATAATTAGATTTTTAAAATTCTTATAGATTTAAATATTATATATCAGATTTCTGAGATTTTATATTAATAAATAAGGGAAGTGCACGGTTACACACAGACGAATTTTGTATGTGAAATGGAGTGATCCATTCGGTGATATGATCCACTCGTATATGAACCACGTTAGTTAACTTAACTTACATCTTCTGTCTTCTGTAACGTTATCCCGTTGTACAAACTACCCTGGATTCCTACCACCCACCAATGGTTGGTTACATGATAAGTCCTAAGCTCTCTAGATACCATCAACACGTTTATCTTTTTCGTGTCCCGTTATACAATATAGCCTCATGCAGGATCCACCCCGAAAACGTATTCGAGCCCGAAATGCATGCGATAGTTGCCGTAAGAGGAAGCGGAAATGTGATGGCTGTTCACCATGTTCAGAGTGTGTAGGTTATGAATACGAGTGTAGCTTTTCTCCCAATCTAACGCCAGTCAGCTCTGTGAAGAAAGCAAAGCTATCTCATGAGCCAACATTCCAAGGATCTCAATCTCAGAACATTTCCAGTACAATTGCATCGAGTGCTGAATCCTCTGATCTTACACAAAGCGGAGGAAAACATTCAAATCTAGCTTTTGTAATCAATGGAAAACCAGAGGAAACTCCAGCCAAATTGTTTCCCCAAGAAAGCATTGGCCAAGGCACTGCTAGCAATGAAACCACGAATGATTTGTCGATTTTGGAGCCATACAAATGCAGGTTTACCAGCGCAAATAGCGCCATCGCATTCCCGAGGTGTCTAGGAATGGAAATGGAGATGGCCACACCTCCACGGTTGCACAGCTATGCATGGAATACCGGGATCCGGTCAGAAGCACCAAAACCGAATTGTATGCGTTTACATGAATTTTGTTCTTGGGGATTTGCATCTTCAGCAATAGATGTTTATTTTGAGCACATCAATCCCGTTTTTGGATTTTTGGAAAAGGAAAAGTTTCAACACAGATGTGAGCTTTTTTGGAAAGATGATACGGGAAGTATTGGATTCGAGGCACTTATCTGTGGGGTGGTAACTTTGGGTGCCTTGTTCACGAGACAGATTCCATCTGTGCTTGAAAGTGATGTCTTCGAGCATGGCCGATGCTTGCTGGAGCAAGGATCTCAGAGGCATGGCGATATGTCTCTTGAACATGTGATGGCATGGACATTACGGGCTCTTTATCTTCGGTCCACGAGTCGTCCTAATTTGTCTTCATTGGCAATATTTACGACCGTTCATTTGGCCGAATCAATTGGCCTTCATCGAGAGTTGGATACTGTTGTTTTCGCCGTTGACGGATCCCGGAAGGTTTTCTCACCTGACGTATTGGAATTACGTCGGAGGGTCTTTTGGATCGTGATGTCCCTGAACCAATTATTCGCTGCCGAATACGGCCGTTCAAAGGTTTCCTTGGACAACGTGAGATGCCGAAAGCCGTTCGCTAAAGAAGGAGATTCAATCGGCGACTTGATTGCAATGGCGGAACGACTATCCTCTTGCACTGGTTCAGACGTTGACCCTGATGCCCTGCGAATAGCAATTGAACATTTGTCGATCTTACCTTGTAACCATTCAGGACTGACCATGATCAAGGCAGATGTTGTTCTGTGTCTCGCTCGAAAACTACACCTGACTCAATCAAAATTCAGCTCTTCTGTCTTAAACACTATAATGGTAGTTCTTCGCAGTGGCTTTGCGGAGTCCCGAAATTTATCAGACAAGCGAGTACCCTGGTGGAACGTGGTCAGCGTTCCATTCAACACCGTTTGTCTACTCCTGTCGATAAACACACGCCAGAGCATATCCTTTTTGCCTCAAGCCATGGACACTCTAGAATTCGCTAGCAAATCATGGGATACCCATCTGTCGAGGGAAGCTTTACATACTGCGCAAATGTTGGTCAATCGATTTATAGATATGAAACGTGAAGACCAGATGGTTCTGGAATCTCTCCATCGTGTTGTCGATCACCCTAGTGCATCTTCAAGTACGCAAAATTGGACAGGGACTATTGGCGATGACCTGTTCGGAGGCTTGAACGGACAGGATTTTGGGTGGGCACAGTTCTTCGGTGATGTTGTGGGTTAATTTGGAAGTCACTCCAAAAGTATTTTTATATCCAGTTCTGGCGGATACAAATATTAGCTTTGAAATGATCTACCTGCATGTCACCATTGCTTCAAAGAAGCTATTAGCCTCAAGATCAAAGAAAAGCAGGCGCAGGGGTGTTTTGATCTTTCTGTGAATAAACAACCACCCCTTAGATAACATACAAATACTTACCGAGTAGTTCTTTTGTTCTCTTTTAGGTTACGCATCGGGCCTAAACCGGAAATGTAATTGTTGTAAAAAGTCGGCTGTTGAGAATTAGCCTCGAGTTTCTTCGCGGGAACTCACGTAATCATCGGAAGTCATTGAAAGGCCATGGGGCACACCACAGCAACAATTCACAGCGCTATCTGTGTGTAATTTAGGATGAGTTTGGCAGGATTTGGTAATTAACAGAAACATCATACAATTAATGGTTCTTTAGCAGGTGCTTTTGCCTATCTCCACTTGCTTTGTTATGAATTATCAACGTTTTCCGCAATATCCACTCCATCCACCCATCCAATGACCACTTCAAGCGAGCATGTAGATATAATAGGATAATTGTACTGTTTAAAATATCAAGAAGTTATATAAAGATCACGACAAGCTTGAAAATCCCAATCCACTTCCAGGTCTGCATAATTTTTAACGCCGTTGCAAGATCGAGATATCGAGAAGCACGATGATATAGAAGCAAGCGTTGGTTCCAAGCGACATCAAAGTGAGCCCATAACTCCCATTTTCCCGCCGAAGGAGATCTCACTATGAGTGATCAGTTGCTCAATATGCATATTTTCCACCTTTGATTTTCTCAATGCGTATTTCCTGTCCTAGTTATTCCCATACATACATATATTTCCAAGTCTACAATATCGGAGTATTTAGACATACTACCAACTCCACGAACCCCATCCACCACCTGGATCTTCGCTCTACAGTTATATTTTATGTGGTTTCCAGCTCCGTTGTTTGGTCGTATTTTGGATACTTTTGGTACTGCTCCTATCTTGATTCAAAGTAGTGTTCTTTATATTTTCTCTTTGTCTCTGTATGACTTCGCTATGTTATAGGTATTAGAGTATTCTTGCTCAAGGTATTGGGTTTGGGTTTGGGGCTTGTGATATATTTGTAGCGGTTTTTGTGTGAGCAGGAATGGTTTGAAAAGAGGAGGGGATTGGCTCTGGAATTGTTACTGCGGGAAATAGCTTGGGTAGAAATTTGATTCCTATATTTGCTGGTTTTTCTTACTGACTTGTCAAGTCTACGCGGTGAACGAAGTGAACGAAGGGTAGCAACGAACTCTTCATCAATCCGAGAGACGGTCGAGGAAAAAGGGGTTCCCTCGAGTACAGAAGGGGGATAATAAGTGAGTAAAGGAGGGACGAATTCTACTCATTTATCAATCCTAATTCATTGTCAAAAGCTTCTATATAATGGAATATGTAAAATATAAGAGGTGGTAGGAGTCGAACCAGGTTAGGAGGAGTAATATTTCCAATCTTCGTCGATAAACTCATTTGTGAAATCAAATTCTATGGCACTATCTGTTGTGTTGCTCTTCTTATTGGTATCCTGCAAGTTTGTGCTTGGTTCCTTGTTAGGGTACGCATGCCTCAGAAGAAATGGAATAGAGAAGC